GTACAATTCTGTGCTATTTATCATATTCATAGAGCGGTGCCATCATCCCTACGATCAATTTTAAAACATTTTTAATCACCCAAAAAAGAAACTCCATAGCTCTCCAGCCTCAGGCAACCATGGATCTCTGTTCTGTCTCTATGGGTCTGCCTATTCTGCGCATTTTGTATAAATGGAATCATACATTGAGTGGTCTTTCGTGACTAGCTTTTTTCACTTAGCATAATGTTTTCAAGGCTTATCGGGTAGCGGGATGTATCTGCACTTCACCCCTGTGTCTGGCTGAGTAATATTCATCGCACGGATAAACACATTTTGTTTATCCCTTCATCTCTGATGGACGTTTGGGTTGCCCCTGAGTTTTAGCTACCACAAATGATGCTGCAATGAGCATTCGTGTACAGGTTTTTGTTTTCCCTTCTCTTGGGTGTATACTAGGAGTGGAATTGCTGAGTCGAATGATGACTGTGTTTAACAATGTATTATTTTTGAAAATGAAAACAATTATCTTTATGGCTTTGCGTATCTGATATCTAAATAGAGTAAACGTAAGTTCCAGGAAGGCTGGGCCCTGGCGGGGACTCCTCTCCCTTTGCTCTGTTTGTGAATCTTGAACACTTGTTGCAACTGTAGCTGCACAAACGTGTCGCTTGGAAGACGGGGCGAGGGCAGAACTGCAGGAGGAGAGTCCGGCCTCACAGAGGGAGGAGGAAGAAAAGGGTCTGCGGGTCAGCTCGGGAAGGTGGGGGAAGGAGAGGGATGGCGTGAGTATGTGAGGCAGGCGGGGTGACAGGAGCCCAAGTACTCGCGGCTGCTGGGGTCAACACCCAGGCTGTCACCTCCTGAGGCGCGAGGAACTCGCAGGTAACAACGACCCCCAGCCAGGGAAGCAGGCATGGCCTTGGGGGCAGGGCTGATTCTGCCCTCAGAGCAGCCATTGTACCTTGTACCTATTCCACGTGGCCTGCTCTGGGCAGCTGACAGGTTACTGAAGCTGAAGCAGCTGAAGCCACTTATCTGGAGCTTGGAGTCACCTGTCTGCTGGGGTCATGTAAGCTAAAGGCTCTAGAACTGCCTTCTGGGGAGGCTTCCCCCACCCTCTGGGGGCTCTAGTTATTAGGACGGTTCTCTGGAGCCTCTGTCTGTCTCTAGTGTATCCGATAAGGGGGGCAACATGCACCTCTTGTTTAATTGGTCTGTGTTGCTCTCTTATCCCCACTGGTGTGTTTTAAAAGCTCCACTGGCTTCCGTGAGTAGCCCGGGTTCAGACTGGTTTAGGGCGTGGGTCCTGGGCCAGCAGCAGCAGCAGCAGCACCAGGAACCTGTGAGACATGCACGCTCCTGGGCTCCACCCACACCTAGAAAATCAGGAGCTCTGCTCTGGGGTCCAGCAGGCTGTTGCAATGAGACTTTCAGGCAATTCTGATGCACGGTGACATTTGCAAACCGCTGACTTAATCCTGGCTCTGCTTCTTGCTAGTTATGTGAGCCAAGGCGTGTATTTAGCCTCAGTCTTCAGCAATGAAATGGGATAATAATGCTCAACTCGTAGTGTTCTTGTAAGGATCCAGCAATATGAGTGTAAAACACAGCACCTCACTTGTGGTGACGCTCCATGAATGGTAGCTGTGACTGTCACCATGGCGTTCTTACTGTTTTTACACTTGCTGTCAGAAGCGTGAGCTTGCTTGGCATACTTTGTTTTGGGTCCCACAGACGTGATCTGTACCTGGTTCCCATCCCAGCTGCTACCTCGGTGGGAAACGTGGCAGGATGGACTTGAAACCTCTGTTTCAAAGGGACTGTGTTGGCTTTAGGAGAATTCTATAAGGAAAAAGAGAGAAAACCAACTATTTTCTGGATTCTCTGGAATGATAGACCTCTGCTAGCTGGGCTTGCACGTCCTACCTGGGACGGGGGAGATCTCTGTGAACATGGAAGTGAAGTGGTCTTGGATCTCAGAGGAAGCTCTGGGAGAGAGTACACCGATGGCATGTGGTGTCTGCCCAGCGGCTCCTGTAGCCTGAAGGCGGGCACAGGAAGAACCACCAGCTCCCACCAGAAGCTGGGGTGGGTGACAAGCACCCTGTGAGTGGCAGTGACTGTAGCACCCACCACCAGGGCTGCTCCAGAATTCTCTCCTGATCCGGGTAGCAGCCTGACCCACCACTGTTACCGGGCATTGGAGGAGGCATTCGAGCTCTTTTGCCCTGAAGGCTAAGGCAGCAGGGCCAGTGTGAGGGTCCCTCACACTGGATGTGGGCACCATCCTTCCCTCTGGAATGGCCATCTCCTTGACATGAGCCTCGGGGACTTGTCTGAGGCTACATCTTCCTAGCAAGCGATGACTTAGCTTGCGTGTTCATGCAGGGACTGGGGGGAGGAGGAGGATTGGGCTGAGCCCTGGGCTGTGGGACTCATGGGCGTTGGGGGAGCTAACGCCCTTGACCCCCACCCAGACCACCGCCTGGCACAGCCCCTGCCTCGCATGGAGTGTCGGCGCCTTCACACGTCCTTGTCCTTGCAGGGTGGAAATCCCAACCAAGATGCGGGTGGAACGATGGGCCTTCAACTTCAGCGAATTGATCCGAGACCCCAAGGGTCGACAGAGCTTCCAGTACTTTCTCAAGAAAGAATTCAGTGGTGGGTCTTTAAAAATTTTTTTTTTTTACTTTTAGAAACACTCCTTTAATCTCTAGCCTAGGGTTTTGGGAATTTCTGGGCAAATGTTTTCATAGCTTCGCTTATGCCCTTAAATAGGCGCTTCCTTTGACAGCTTTCAGAATGGTCCCCGAGTGCAGGACCCGTTCTCTCCATAGGCTCTAAGAAGCCCCATAGTCTGGGGGGAAAATCGCATCTGCTCACAAAATCCACATTAGCGGCCCTCGCATTTCTGAGGGCTCCATCTTGGCTGTCCTTACTGTCACCAGAGGGGTTCTTCCTTCTCCGTCCTCTAAGCACAGCTTTTTGGGGAAACTTGAAGAAGTGAATGGAAACAGTCTTGCTCTTTTTGTCCGCGAGCCTGGTTTTCTTCAGCTGAGTGGTGCTGCATATTTGGTTCACCTGGGGATATTTTAAGGCCTATGTCTGCCTGGCTCCAATCCCCAGAAAGTGCTTTTTATTGCTTGGGGTTGGAGTCTCCGAAGTTTTGAAAACTCCCCACGTGATTCTAATGTGCGGGTAATTGAGAAGCACCGCCTTAGCTCCTGGCCTGATTTCTTCAGGGCCTTGGGAGTGCGCGGATTTTAATGGAATGGAAAGGGCCACATCTTATATCCCATCTCTGGATGTCTTCTCGTGGTAGCACTTGCGAGTTCTTAAATATATTGCACATCTGGGAAAACCAAGAGGCCGGATTAGAACCTATTTCACTAGGCTGTGTGTTCAATTGGCTTCACCACCTCCATTGAAATATTTATTTTTATAAGATGCATTTACTTCCTTTCCGAGTCCCAGCCCTGGGGAGCTTCACTTCTGAGCCTCGACACTCAGCCGCCTGCTACCTAAAACCTACTTATCTATGGGGTTGCTCCTGACGCTAATCCTACTGGACATGCCTTTAGCCTAGTTGACTGCCAGATGCAGAACATTACACTATAATATGGGTTGTTGAAAATCCTTCTCTCTAATCAAGCCTAATTGCCCTGATGTAATAAAATCCAGAAAACGTGGATGGAAAAGGGGCGTGTTGGCGAATAAGTGGTTATGGTGCCATCTAGTGGCGGAATGACAAACGACACCCTGAGTTTATCTCACGTGCGTTCCTTAAAAGCGAGAAACAGGTGGGACTATTTGAGAAACAGGTGAGACTATTTGCCGGCATTATTTAAACCGTAGTGTTGCCGATCTCCTCATGAGATTTCTGAGGCTTCGGGTATGAACAGGGCAGAAGAATCATCAGTTTAATCATTTGATTTTGTTTAAAAAAATGTATATTGAAATGGGATTCACCTGCCATGAAATTCAACCTTTTAAAGTGTACAATTCAGTGGTTTTTTAATATATACACTAAATTGTGCAGTCATAA